GACCTCTCTAAGTAGGAATCTACGAATAGCCTTCCTGGCCAATTCATCAACTTCCGGCACAGGAATCCAAGATGGCGGTGGCGGAAGTGGAGGAGGAGGGAGAGGAAACTGACCGAAGCCTTTTTCAAAATGGTGGCTATAGATCGAAAAGTTGTCAAAATGTTGTTGTTGATGTTGTTTTTGTTGCTGTTGATGTTGCTGTTGATGTTGTTGTTGGTATTGTTGTTGTTGTAGTTGTTGTTGCGATGTGGTTGACATCAACGACATCGGTGCTAATAATGATAATGATGACGGAGACAACGATGATAATAGTGATGAAATTGGTGGCGACGATATTGCTGCTTCTGCCGCTGCTTCTTCTGCCGCGGCTGCAGATGAAGATAATGACATTACTGATGATGATGAAAAAGAAGAAGAAGACGATGATGAAGAAGATGATGATGATGATGGTGGCCTAAAATGTTTTATCAAAATGTCATTTTGGCTGCTAAGCAATGGAAAGCTGTATGGCTGCACTGATGATGTTGGATTTAAAACAGATTTTTTAATTTTAATTAATTAATTAATTAATCATTAATAATAATAATTAATAAATGTAATAATAACATTAATAATTAGTTAAATAGTCAATTAATTAATTTAATTTAATAGAAATAAAAAAATAATAATATCATATTTGTTTACTGTTTGGATAATAAATTGTAAGAGTAAGATCATATCCATACATCGATGATGATGACGACGACGATGATGATGATGATGATGGTGACGATGACGATGATCTAACGGGATTCACAATGATGGTGAAACTCCATACCAAAACTAAACCTACTAGCGATTTTGTGGCAAGCAATGATGACGATGATGATGAAGATGATGAAAATATCCGCGAAAATAAGGATGATGATGATGATGACGATGATGATGACGATGATGATGACGATGGTGACGATTTTCTCATGACATCAGCAGAACTCTGTGGCGCCATGATCATAGTGAGTGAGTGAGTGAGTGATTAGTATTGGCCGAAAGATGTCTACTTAGTATCTTAAATCGGTAGATTATTATGAATATAATTATTATTAATGTTTATTATTATTATTATTATTATTATTAATGTTGTTGTTGCTGCTGTTGTTATATATTTATTGATCAATGGTATTGATCAATCTCTATCCAATCTATCAACAAAAAAAACAGTATTGACTGCAAAATGGTGATAATAATTATTTTATTATTATTATTATTAATTATTAATATTATTATTATTTTTATTGTTGTTGTCATTATTACAGTTTTATTTACGATAATTATATATTAACAATAATAAAATTGGAATAGTAAAATATTTCAACCAGCAAAGCTACAAAAACAACAAACATCCAAACGCTCATTTCAATCCGACTCAATCAAACTGTTAACAAATATCCAAAGATCATCTTAGTGTATATACAAACAAACAAACAAAAAACAAACAAACAAACATACATACATACATACATACATGCAAACATACATACATATATACATACATGCATACATACATACATACAAAAAAACAAAACTTACATACTATACATACAAGTAAACCAAAAACTCCGGTGTAAAATAACATTTATTTATTTCATAACTCTTTGTAGTATATATATTCTTTTAAAAGGAAAGATGTTAAACACGTATTTCCAGAAAATGTACGTGTATTATTGTATGTATGTATGTTTGTATGCGTGTGTGTGTATATGTATGTATGTTTGTATGCGTGTGTGTGTATATGTATGTATGTATGTGTGTGTGTGTATGTGCGTGTTTATAACTTATTTGAATAAGTGTAGTTAAGATTTCCATTTAAGCAGAACCATATGTGGGAAAAAAATTCCGTTATTGGTGATTGGTGTATTCACAAATTGGTATGTACATAAGTATGTGTGCATATATATGTGTGCGTGTGTGTGTGCATGTATATGTGTATATATGTGCGTATGTATGTGTGCATGTACATATGCGTGTATGCCTGATATAAACATACATACAAGTGCGTGTGTGTGCGTGTGTGTGTGTGCTTTTACATGACCATATCCTTCGATACAATCCTAAATGTATGTGATTACTCGTTTGTATGTTTAAATCTCATTATTATTATTATTATTATTATTATTATTATTATTATTATTATTACTTTCGTCTAGTCAGTATTGTTGTGCCTGTTGGATTTATGTACATATTATTTATAAACAGTAACAATGATGAATGACTCCATCATGCTATTATAGGATGAAATTGGGTTAGCTCTGATGACAATAATAATAATAACAACAACAATAGCAGTAACCACAGAGGCAGCAATAATAATAATAATTATAATTATTATTATTAATATTTTTATAATTGAATTTCTTTAACTTGAATAACTTTCTATTGAAAACATTTATGAGGTGAAACTTGTAGAAGCAGAACAAAGTTGTCAGTTGAGACGAAAGAGACCAGCATGATGGCGAGGAAAAATTTGACCGATGAAGTCAATGTTCGGACGATATCTGGGACCAAGGAAATTAAGGATAAATTCAAGTTTTGTATCTTAAAATAAATTTCCAATGAACTAGAAAACACCACGCACGCACCACACACATACACACACACTCTCACACAAACACAGACAGACACACATACACACACACACATACACAAACACGCATACAAACACACACACAAACACATACATACAAACACACACAAACACATACATACAAACACACACATACACAAACACACACACACAAACGCACATCACCATCACACATCATTATCATCATCATCATCATCATCATCACGCCCATTATCATCCTAGCTTATCTTTCCTGTTCACACTTTCAAAATAATTTAGAATAAAATATTTTTTATCAATTATTTCAAAAGTGTTATATATATATATATATATATATATATACATATACTTATATAAATATATATATGAAGATATATATATATATATGTGTGTGTGTGTAT